CCTGCGCCCCAGCAGCTCGTTTGGGACATCTTCCTGTAAATAGAACACGCCTTTTACAAATGGGCGCATTGAGACGTCTTTACATCTAAATTTACTACACGTTGCGCAAGAAAAACCGTTTAGTCGGCAAATGGCGACCGCCCATGGGAGCGCGCGCTTTAATGTAAATGTGAAGAACAGAAATATCGACAACACACGGCATATGTTGAGTGTTTAAATGCCCGTGACGAGCCATGGGAGGTTTTTTTCTTATTCAACCTTTGAAGAAATATCATGCGTTTTTTTTTTTCGCGATGAGGCTTGTGCTGCGGGAGGGGAGGGGGGAGCTTTTTAGGGATTTTTGATGTAGTCTTTAACTTGTCTTTAACTTATTAAGCGTTGATATGAAACAACGTTGTTCCTGCCATGAGTTCCTCTCTCTCCCTCTCTCCCTCCCAGAACTCTCCCATCTCTCTCTCTCTCCCTCTCTCTCACTCTCTCTCTCTGTTTAAAAGTCAAAATATTCATTTTTGGCCTTTTTACAAATTACTTACAGAAATTTGTATTCGATTTAAAGTTATTTAGTATTTGATGGATCAATGTTTTTTGTTTTCGTCGCACTGAGTAAAAAGGTCACTTAGAAGGTTTTCAGAGTAGGCCTACGTCCTGTTACCGACATTGTTCTTTCAACATCTGTCGTAACCACGTCATACAACAACCTATACCGTTGAGCCGTGAGGAGAATATCATCTAGTCACGCAGTCCAACGTCTTGGGGCGTGTCGCCTCAGGAAGTGAACCTCCCTACCTCAAATATGCCGGTGGTTTTACGAAAATAACAATAACAGCTTTCTTAGTAAATAATTTTGCTATTGTCTGCTGTTTTTTTAATTGAATGGTTAGTCATTGGATTGCGAATAGAATAAGCTGTAATTCAAAAAGTTTGCCTGGTATAACCTGAAATTATACAAAATCGTTGTGTCGGGATTTATAAAAAATATTTAAAAAAAAAAACTACCGTATTTATCTCAATATAAAGTCATTATTTAATTCTGTAAAGCGTTCACAAAGACCCTGGCAGGTTTCCCAGCCGGGTACAAGGGTGTTATTTAATATTAGAAACAAACCACAGTTTTCATACTCGTTTCCGATACGTTTTTAAAAAAATCATTATTTAAAAAATATTATAAATTTATTGATTTCTCAATATTTAGATAATAAATAATAATAAATATGGATACATTTAAAACACTCCAAAATTTAAAAACAGCACTGGTTCCAAAAATAATAAATTAAAAAATAATAAAATAAAAAATAATAAATTAATTAATATTAAAAAAGGCTTCCCACCAACAAGAGAAGGAATTAAATTTGTTACATTGTTGCAGACACTGTATAGGCCGTATAGACCGATGATGATGACATAAAATTCAATGATATTTTCGAAACAAGCACATTTCATAAGAACCTACTTTCTGTTTATGAACTAAAAGTTTCTTCCGACATATCGTCAAAAAATATGTAGACAACGCGACCAAGGTTCGTGCTAATGGTGTATTTTGTGCCAATAAATTACCCACTTTCCCACAAATCGTGAGTCTCATGCCCTATGCTTCGGTGTATTTCCGCCAAGATCAATAACAATTTCAAGTACAGTAGTGATTTACATGTGTCTCGTTATGTTGGCCATTAAAAGTGTTCGTGACATCGATATCCAATGTCTCCTGCAACGGGAATCATATGAGATAGCACTGTCTCGCAGCATCACGTGAAATCACGCGAGAGTTCAATGGATTTTAAGGAGAGTGGGTCCAGGAATAATGGTAGCAGACCAGTGAGTGGGCTTGGCGAAGAATAAAAGCCGACAGAATTTAGCCACGGACATTTTAATGGTTGTTTTGCAGGCCCGCCGCCGGGGGGAGGGGGGGGGAGGGGGGGTTCAAAAGAACCGCCCCTTTTGCTGGAAATAGGTCCATTCTGGGTAAAATTTGATCTAGGTACATGAAGTTTTTATGGGAAAAGGTCCACTTTTTCAGAAAAAAAAAAAAAAACCCTTTTGAAATTGCTGGCTACGGGCCTGTTTTGTCTTAAGTTCTGTCGAATAACAGCCTATTGCACAGCAGTACAAATTCGCCATACTTTTCAGTGTATCTTTTTGTATTGCTTTAATTCTAATACCGCAGCATTTAATGATAAATCTTTATCGCTGAATAGTTAGCCTCATCCCAACCCACACCGATTCCTAAGGATTCTAGCCTCGTATGACGTCACACAATTGCGCCCGTCTCGTTTTAGTTTTTTTGTATGACGTTTATTCACTCTAATACGGCACTGTGATAGATGCGCTAAGTGCCTAGCGTTAATTGCGACAGCGCTGACCATGAATGTGGTTTTAATCTGAAATGTATGAAGGGAAACTTAAGATTAATTCAAAGAAAAGAAATTTTACGGTCGTCAACTGTTATTGGATATTGGAACAGTAACAGAAGAGAACTGTAATGCCTCGAACTATACGAACCAAAAAAGTTTCAAAACAGAAATAATTAAATATTGGAGAAAGATGATGTTAAAGGGGGCACGTATCACTGATCATATAATTTGTCCAAATGCTCATTTCAACACAAAACAACCATGATTTTAAACATTTAATGAAGTTGAATATCATGATAATGAACATAAAGAAGTTACAATGGAGAATAATAATTACGATATTTTAAAATTACAATGGTAATGAATAAAAACATACATGTACGACGTATAAGTGAGAGCAAATCTCAGTTGACGACTTGCCAGTGCCATATGAAAGTTTTGATTCACCAAGTTCTTTTAAACTAAGATAGAGATGAAATTTTGTGAAAATCTTATACTGGAACTTACAGTTGGAACGGAGGTCATTATGTTTCAGACTTATCACAAGGTCTTATTCAGGTGAACTGAAGTCGTGCGATAAATCTCAGCACACCATTCAAACAAATCGAGGCTAAGAAGTCAATATATGCGAATTATTATTAACACTGTAAGGTTTCCTATCACTCCGTGCGAATATCCTACATTTGCTTTATTGCAAAAATATTGATTTAGTTGTATCATCTGTCTAGTACGTTTACCAGTGTGTGCAATATGGCTTTTAAGGAGAACTGAATTTTGAACTTCAGAACTTTTTAATACAATGAGCAAATCTTCACTCCGGTCCGCCCAAGAAAAATATTTCCTTAGTCTCCGATATATATAGGATCACGCCTACACAAAACTACATATTAAATTTATTATACGAGGGTCTGTTTCAAGGTGATAAATTTCGACCGAACGTTGGTCTTAACTATCAAATCAATTTTTGTCTAATTCGACACAAATTAAGTCAATAGCATTCCCAATAAATGTGATACATCTCCTGTTTAACACCAAAAAGATATTGGTAATATTTTAATCAATGGATAATCTAGTTTAGTTGATAAAAAAGACCAAACTATACCCTAAAAGTTATGGCCAACATTCGGTCCGACATTAAACCGACCTCGGGCGCAGTGGAAATAACTGCGTCGAAGAGAAGGAAGTGAAGATAAGCTTTGCAAACCACCCTCCCCTCGAATAACATTTTCATAGCTTTACCTATACCACGCCTTTATACAACAAACTCAAACAAATTGAAAGGCATAATGACCAAGTTTCTCAATAACATGGCCCGTTAACTGGTTAAATAGTTATTTCGTAGGTTTATGCAGGGCAGGGAATTTATATGGGTCAATTTTCGGGCAAGTAAACAACCCGAAACTATTTTGAAGTTAGATCTTCTTATAAGTAAACTATTATCAAAAATTAAGGAAAAATGGAGATTGTGCAATTTACTGTCTGGTTTGAAATGTCTTCTTATGTTTTCTTTTAAGGAAAGATTGTAGTCCTAGTATTTCTGCACATTTACACAGCCCGTGAAAACTGAACATACAGCACGCACGTGCTTGTCGATTTTGATAATTATTTTGATTGTTTTAATAAACAGCTGACCGCACAATTATAAATGGACGCATCTCGGCACTGTTTCAAAAGCACGATACCCTATGAGGTATCTGTTTGATAGGGACTCGTATCAAAGTTCCCTAAAATAGGACTTCACAGGGCAATGTTCATCGCTAAATACTGCAGCGGGAAACGACGACCAAAATGCCCTTTCTACGCATGTGTGTGCACGCGTTTTCTATGTATAAGGGTACGAATTTATTCAGCTTATGTACTTAAATGCATCAAATATTTAGTTCTGACCGAGCTCTTAAAAGCGATATAAAGTGAAATAATAACAGTAATCATAATACGTGGGATAAGAGGTATTATTAATAAATTAAACCATCATGTTTGATATATGAAAATAAAACAGTTAAAACATACTATATTAAAAAGTGATTAGAATCAAAGTTAAGGTGTTAAAATGTGAAACAGTAATAGGATAAAAAATTCTTACTGGCGTGAAAGTTTAGGAGAGATTCCCAACGTCTACGGGTGTTATTCTATTGTTAATTAATTGTTAATAAACCAACGTTTCTGTGCGTTTGGAGTACTGTCATGTTAGCATACCCCTGAGATTGATTTACACCCGCCAAGTTCAGTAAGACTGGGTTCCCTTACTCAGATCGATCTAACAGGATCGATCCATCTCCGAGAGGTTTCTAGCTAAATTGCTTTCAGCTCAAGCGGCTTAGATGTCTGGCACGCTGCTAAACGATAATTACCTCCTAGCAGCTTCAGTAGGCGTGACATACATCTGAACCGCTAAAGTTGATTCAAATTAAACGTGAGTCCCTTCGGAGATAGATCAATCCAAAGTTAGTACGATAGGGTCTGGGAATGGTCCCTAAGTGTTACGCCCAATTGTTTCCCCATTGATAAACGTACTACTCTGCCCTCAGCGTTGATCTGTTAAGCTGTTTACACTGCGTTTGGCAGGCTAATGATAATGGATTGTTTTGTGTATGACATTAAAACGACTGTGTACATTATCAAAATGGTATCTGACTCACGTTATCTTGTGCGATCTCGGGCACGCGGGTGATTGGAGACAGTATCAGTGTCAGCCAAGTAACTTGTGCGGTCCTCGAGCCATACAGATTTACACGTGATTTTCAGGTTATTTAAAATCGGGCAGGTAAATGTTTGGTTTAGTCCATCATTCCTCAATCTGAAGAGGAGTAGGAGTTAAACTAACACTCCCGTGAACCAATACGTGTCTTCACTGGAGTCAAAGACAAGTGCACGATCCAAGAAGAAATAACTACAGTTTAGGTAAGCATCTAAAATGTTGAGCAAAAATGTTCATGAACTTGGTAGCTGGATCATAAATGAAAATTTTCAAACACAAGCCGAAAAACTGTCATACCGTTAGCTTACGGCCAGCCTGGACGTAGGCCTTCATCAGACTGATGTGAGCAGATGTTGACACTCACTGAGCACTAAAATCTAAAATGTTGTTTTGTTTTGAATATTTTTTCTTTTCATCTTCATTGAGAAGACAACGTGTCGTGATTGTGGATGGTGCTACACTGCTCTTGTTTTTACCCATTAAAATGGAATTATTTTGTAACAGGTCTTTCTCACTAACGCTTTTTCATTTATTTGGTATATTTTTTGTCATTTCGTCTCTGACCCGTCGCTATACAGAATTCTTCATTGTAAATCTATAGGCCAAAGTTTTTTTCATTTGTCTTTAGTCAAGTGCACGGTAACTTGCATTTCTAGTATTTTACTCAGCTTGGAAATTATTTTTTTAGCAAGCCCCTCCCCCCCTTTTTTTAAACACCAAAAGATACAAGGAAATACTGGATTCATCAATTGGATTAAGAAGATTTGGGAAAAGGAAAATTGAAATCTGAGACAGTTTTGTATACTGACTCTTAAAACCAAAGTTCCATCCTTCATAGAGCTTCGTTTTATGAGTTTATTCATTTTTTGTGATAACTTGCCTGTTTTTTATTTCAATTTATTCATTATTATTTTCATCGTTATTACTTGGCAAAGAGGCTAGTGGAATATCTTACGTAGTAAACAGAAAAATCAAACGGAAATCCGCGTAAAACCGCATATTGTTGACGACAGCAGTTATCAGCAGTTTCTGCTTTTTCTGCCAAAATAGGCTTAGGGAAGTTGCAGTGTGCAGAATGCAGCGGAAAGAAGACACTAGATAAGTTGTAAAAAAACTTTTAGAACAGTGCCCTGGTGTAAGAATATATGTATTAATTACTAAATGCACAAAATGATGACTAAAAGGATGTGAAAGGATTTTTAGGCAATTGAAACTTTAAAAAAGTTGCTTCTCCTTTGTCGGTTTTTTGATCGGATGACGCATTAGCTTGCGCCATCGATTGGCAACATCGACTGAACGAGGATTTAAAGCATGGGGATTTCCGAAGATGGATGACATTTCATGGGGACTCTATTACTCTTCAGATAATACAACTGTAAGTGAATAATTTGGCCACACTAGTAGGACCTCTGCCCGGTTTAAACTAGTTCTTGTCTTATTCCACCTTAAAAGGCACCTCCATCGTCCTTTGCCAAAATTACCCAGCCGCGCGTTCAGCGCCTTGTCTTTTCTTGAAGATGGCGGCATTTCGTGTTAGCTCATGTCGCTATACCTGTCATCATTAAGTAATTAAGCGCTTTCATTGGCACGACGTGGGTATTTTGTGTGGAGACGAGGTTTGGATTAGCCCTCTCTCCAGGGGGCTCTTCAGGGTTGCCACGGTGCTGGAGAGTGAATCCACCTACGAAGTATGTCTTCCGCATACAAGCGGTATCCCTTGTACTTCGTGTTATTTTTTTTTCTCAAAAATTCCTCACGAGAGCTCTTAGTCCCATCCTCTCCCAGCAAGCAATGAACAGTAAAAAGTTCAGAACATGAAGACCATAAAAATTGAGAGATATTTTACTTTAATTTCATGTTTTTTTTATTATAAGTCTCTGGGTTGTTATTTGAAAGATGAGCTAGTCACAAACGATGTCTTTGAAAAAGTAAAGGGCTTAAGGAAAGAATTTCAAATTTGACCAATGTGGTAGGATTGGTAGTCCTAGGAATGGAAGTCCGGAGTAATTAGTAGGCCTACTGATAAGTGGTAGCCGGAAACTATCGGGGTCAATATATGTGTCGAATGTCACTTGTACAAAGTGATGGGAAACGGACTACAGGTGAATATGTTACTTCTATAACTTAATTTGAAATTTTCAGATTAAAATTAAAAAATAAAATAAATAAATAAATAAATAAATAAAAAATAAAAATAAAAAAACGACAAGAGTGGATGACAAATCCCGGCATAGAGGAAAGTTTTAATTTGAAATAGTTTGCGTGAGTTTTAAATTTTGAACTTTTATTTATCTTATTTATTGATGTAATCATAAATCTACTTCAAATTTTGATAACAAAGATATATGTTTAAATTTAGAGAAAGTTTTCGCCCTTTGGCCCGGAGATACATGAAATGAAATAGAAGAAGACGGTTACAAACATGACACTTTCTATATATAGCAATGAGCTAAGTCTACAAATAAAATGAAGTTAAAAGGTCACCCAAGTACATTTTATGTTGATAAATACGCTGTTATTAAGACAAAGGGACTATAGAACGTCAAGTCAACATTGCGTCTGCTCTAGACAGCGAATGGTTTCAACAGACAACTACTCTGTTGTTTTTAAACAATCTGATCTTTTTATGCCAAGCTTAAGATCTTTTTTCCATTAGAAACCAGAGATGGATGGACGTGCACTGAAATGAACTTTTTCGGCACTACAGGCGTCTAAAATCGACTTCATTTTCTTCTATTTTTCAGCGCCACGTGCGACTATTACCCTCTACCAGGGCGAGTGATAGATTTTTCTACAGATATTCACAGATACAGGCCTACCCAACTACCAGACTCGGCACCGAATGATCCTGAATTCGCCGGTAGATCAGACCACACTACCCGTTTTCAAGGTGTGTGTCAGATCACATTACACAGTATCAGACGCGACACCGCTCTTGCCCAGTACGCGATGTGATAGTGACGATTCTCAGCAGGGTTGAAAAGCATTGCATCACTACTCAAAATTTGTTCAGGGTATGATACTGTGTAATGCAATCTGACACACACCTTGAAAACGGGTAGTGTGGTCTGATCTACCGGTGAATTCAGGATCATTCGGTGCCGAGTCTGGTAGTTGGGTAGGCCTGAGATATGTCTCTAGCTAGATAGATGGTCATTTAGGGCTGAACTCACCCTGTTGAGAAATCTCAAGGCTGATTACATGGCTGATAATTGTTTGCATAACTGCTCAGGCACTGCCATTTAGCAGGTCCAGTCTAAGTCTGCGTGACAGCAATCAAGACAGTTAATTACTCTGACTTCAATCACTTGCTCTTCTGTGACAGATACTAAAGCCTTAGACTGGTTGCGTAACGAGCAGTTATCACATCGTTGTGAAGCTCAGCTCATGCAGAGCAAGTACAAAGCCTTTGGCGCGCGCAGAGATAATTGTTTCCACATGAGATTCCTCAACAGGGTGAGTTCAGCCCTAAATGACCATCTATCTAGCTAGAGACACATCTGTGAATATCTGTAAAAAAATCTATCACTCGCCCTGGTAGAGGGTATGCGACTATAGTCAACATCATTTAATTGTTCAGCGCTACGCACAGTAATCTCCTAAACATACTGCCACAACAAATTGCGTTGGTTTTCTTACCCAAGCTTCTCTAACACATCCACCAAACCTCGTTTGGGATCGGCATACATTTACTCTTCAAAGTGACCATACAATTAATTCAAATGTTTACATCTTTTGAAATAGGGACTTCCATATTTACATCGCAGCTTTAACATGGTAGAAAGAGTGTTCCTCCTGGCGCTGACCCTGGCGTTCTTCCTGATGTTCTGTCAAGGTACAGAGGCAATCCCAGCACCAACTGAGGTGGACGGCGTCCCTTGGAATAAAATACCTCCGAAGTTCCAGTAAGTTGTCTTAACAATAATGTAGATGCTAAAAGCATTAGATGAAATAAACGTGGATATTTATTTCTATTTCTATGAATAAAAAGGAAACATCCAAACTGATTGGTAAATACATTAATCCTATTACTTCTAGAAATTGGTACCTAAAATATATGATAAAAAGAGGAGGCTGCACAACCGAAGAATGCAAAAAGCTATTGGAAGAATGGGATCTTTATCTTTTGGAAAATGGATACGCAAAGACATATGCTCGGTTTGGCGGGTAAGATATTTTCAAGACATGTTTTTTTATAAGATGGTTCTAAAAAGTATGTATGACAGACAAATTAATCTTAGATATGAAGGTACTTTCGTATCTGAACATTTCAAACACTGGCAGATATCTCCAGGGTCAAGTTTTGGTTTTGTGATGGTCTTTGCATCACCAGCGCCATGGTACCCCCATATTGGAACATTTAAATTTTTACATATAAATTTATATTTTTACCCCGACTGCTTGGTTTCTCCTTAGCTTTGTGTGCTTATACATTGATCCGGCCCTGGGTTCATCAACATCTCTACATTTTCTGAGATTTTACTGTATGCAATTTGGATATTGAAAGGTTTTTTTCCTCCTTAGTTCGTTCATATTTTTAGATTTTTTTTTACAATTTCAGGACGTAGTTAAACCAAGGCAATGGCGGGCGTACCTTCAAATGAAGGAAGAAAAACTTTTGAAAGACCTTATTTATACGGAAAACATTTAAGAATGAAGTTATATCTTTCATCACAGTAATAAAATTAAGAAAACAGATGACTGACGTGATTTTGCGTTTTGAAAGCCATGCATTTAATACTGCATCAGCTTCATTCGCTAGAGAGATTTGTGTAAACCTTGAACTTAAAAAAAAAAAAAAAGACGACTCTGTATATAAAATTCAGTTCTAATGACACTGCACGTATGTCAGAACCTTGGACCTGGAGACAACCTACGTTACTTCCGGGGTGCGAAATGATGCTGTCTGGGGCGCATGCCACGAGGAAAAGTGACGCAACGGGGATTGATTTACCAAATTTAGTTGCCGACAAGCAAGAGTGGGTTATCTCCACACGTATCTCTATTTGCCAAGAGAACTTTGCACCAGCTTTTAGAGTCATATATTTATTTAAATTAAAAAACGTTAGGTGACTAAGTTCGCCCAAAACCGTCATCACTAGGCTTATATTAAGGAAAACGCTCTTTCTAATCCCTGCTCCTATGATAAAATCTTAGAAAATTGACTGTATTACGCATTTTCATGAATTTTGTATATACGTATTTGGATTGTTCAGCAGACATTTATACATGTATCATAATTTAATTGCAAGCAATATCTACTCGTTCTCATATAAAAAGGCTAACATATCGAATGCTAAATGGTCAAGGGCGACGGAAAACGCAGAAACTTATATTTTAGTCCGACGTTATTTAAATCCAAATGAACATCATTGTCTCTAGATTGTTATTAGAATTTCATCAAGTGTAAATAAAGCATAATTAGATTACCCAGTATGCACTTTTGTTCCTTCAGTTTAAAACTGATTTAATAACATTGTAAAGCTTGTGATAAACGATCAATGCTGTTTGCGACTTAGAGTTGCAGATTTGTGATTATCTAAACTGCTTGCGAGCTTCACATTAATTTCCATGAAAAAAATCATCATGTTCCAGGATTTTAACAGTACAGTTATGCAGAGGCCGGCCCAGGGGGGGGGGGGGGGGGGGGGGGGGGGAGATC